ACATTCACACAGGCCCCTAAACATTCCACTTCTATAAGACTGAAAAGTTAGGCAGGTATTGTCTCCTCAACCTTCACTCCAAGCTTTTTCTGAATGGCCTCCAGTATGCTGTCAGAGATTCAAGCATGCAGGGTGTAGTCGTGCAGACCTGAATGTGATACTTTCCAACTGGCTTTCCATTATATACTGTAGAAGTTGCTGCTTCACATACTCTCATTGGAGGTGCTTGTAAAACATCTACAGTCAGCCGGGCACGGTGGCTCAAGCCTGTAATCCCAGCATTTTGGGAGGCCGAGGCGGGTGGATCACGAGGTCAAGAGATCGAGACCATCCTGGTCAACATGGTGAAACCCCGTCTCTACTAAAAATACAAAAAATTAGCTGGGCATGGTGGCACGTGCCTATAATCCCAGCTACTCAGGAGGCTGAGGCAGGAGAATTGCCTGAACCCAGGAGGCAGAGGTTGCAGTGAGCCGAGATCGCACCATTGCACTCCAGCCTGGGTAACAAGAGCGAAACTCCGTCTCAAACAAACAAACAAACAAACAAACAAACAAAACTAAAAAACGTCTACAGCCTTGTTCATAGCAGAGACGGGCAACTGACCATTCTACCTATGGGCCAGACAAATCCAGGACTGGAAGAACAGTGCTGCTTTATGGCCTTTTGGGTAGTTTTTTACAATTGCCTCTATCCTCTTACAGTTTTCTGGTATGAAATCAAATGGAATATCAGGGTTATTCTTGGGAGTATCTCTGTGCACAAATAAAGCTCCTCCAGCTCTATTTTGTATAGCTGCCTTATGCAAATTCCTTACACGTCTTCCAGAGGGGCTGCAGTGGCTTCCGAGAAGAGGGCGAAGGCTGTAGTGTCCTTGCCACCACCTGCAGGCCCATGCAGACCCCAGGGCTCTCGGAGGCACAAAGAGCAAGAGAGGGGCTGTGGCAGCACCAGGCTCAGCTCAAGCCTCCTTGCCCACTGGGTGGTGAGGCCAGCCGCCCGGGGCCTGGAGCACCACAGAGGAAGAGAAGTCATTTTAAATCATGAACGAAGGAAAAATACCACAGAAAATTCTGGGTGTTTGGGTGGTAGAATTGGAGAAGCTGACAATGTGAAAGTGAAGGAGGAAGGGCCAGGGCCCTTCCTGAACGTGGCATTTGAGGGTTTCCTGGGGATTTGTTTCTCTAGTTTTGGGGAATCATTCCCTTTGGGCCTACCTTATATAACTGCTAAAATAGCTGAGTAGATCGTGCAGTGCTTGCAAAGGTCCAGTAAGAAGGCCATGCACTTATGCAAAGAAAAAAAAAAATTAGCTTCTTTTTCTTCAATGTCTCAGGGTCAAAAGAGTCCCAGTGCTTCAGAATGCACTCAGAGGACTACAGGCTGAAAATGATCATCTAAAAAGAGAAGCGAGAAATAGGCGTCCCTTTTGTCTCCTTCTTTTCGGTGTGACCCAGGGTGGAGAGGGAGACAGTGAGGGCGCCACCACTGCTGTTTTCCCTCCTTGGTTCCTGGGTTCCAGCATCTTGTTAAACATGCCGCCCATGGTTGCAGGTGTGACCCCCAGACATGGAACCAGAGGAATTAAGCGATTGGGGTTAGTCACACTTACCCCTGTGACTCTAGTCCTGCACTGCTGATTTCCTTTTGATTTCTTAGACTTGTGTGAGCCGGGGGGGCTCCCAGAAAAACGGATCTTCCCCCCTGAGCCCTGCCCTAACAGATTTCTGAGCTTTTTAAAAATTTTTACACATAATTGAGACACTATATACAACTGACCCACTTAAAGTGTATAATTTAATGGTGTTTAGTGTAGTCAGAATGGTACAACCATCACGGTCAATTTCAGAGTGTCTTCATCGCCACCCCAAAAGAAACTCTACTCAGTTGCAGTGAATCTCCATTTCCTCCCAAAATCCCTCTCAGTCCTAGGCAACCACTCATCTACTTTCTGTGTCGAACAGATTTGCTTATTCCAGATAGTTCATATAAATGGAATCATGCAATATGAGGCCTTTTATGACTGGCTTCTTTCACTTACCATGTTTTTAAGGTTCATCCACACTGTAGATGTTTCATAGTTAATTCCTTTTTATTTTTGAAAAATATCCCATTGTACATACAGATACATTGTTCATCCGTTCATCTATTGACATTTGGGCAGTTTTCACTTTCTGGCTATTATGAATAATGCTGCTATAACATGTAATTTTTAATAAGGACATATGTTTCATTTATTCTAAGTATATACCTACAGAGTGAAATTTCTGAGTCATATAAATGCTTAATCTTTTAAAAAACTGCCAGAATGTTCTAAAATGGTTGCACCATTTGAGAATCCCAATGGCAGGGCTATAAAAAGGCTCCCATTTTTTCCAAACCCTCCGCACTTGTTATTTTCTGTATTTTATTGACTGATCATCCTAGTGCTTAGTGGATTTGAAGGGGTTTTGATTTGCTTCTCCCCGATAACTATTGATTTTGAGCAGCTTTCCACGTGGTTACTGACCACCTGTATAACCTCTGTGAAAAAAGGTCTATTCCAGTCATTTGCCCATTGTTTAACTGGGATGTTTCCTTTTTTCCCTTGAGGCAGGCTCTGGCTCTGTTGCCCGGGCTGGAGTGCAGTGGTGTGATCTTGGCTCACTGCAGCCTCTACCTCCTGGGCCCAGGAGACCCTCCCACCTCCACCTCTCGGTTGGCTGGGACCACAGGTGCCTGTCACCTTACCCGACTAATTGTTTTCATATTTTTTGTAGAGACAGGGTTTCGTCATGTTGCCCAGGCTGATCTTGAACTCCTGGGCTCAAGTGATCTGCCCATCTGGCCTCTCAAAATGCTAGGATTACAGGCATGAGCCACCGCACCTGGGTAGGTTTTCATTTTTATTAAGTTATAAGAGTCCTGTATCTATTCTAGCTACAAATTCCTTAACAGATAGGTAATTTGCAAAACACTATCCTATTCTGTGGCTTTTCTCACTTTCTTGATATTGTTCTCCGAAGCATGAACATTCTAAACTTTGATGGTGTTGACTTTTTCTTTTGCCATTTGTGCATTTGGTGTCACTATCTAAGAAACCACTGCCTAATCCAAAGTCACACTTACTCCAATATTTTCTTCCAAGAGTTTTACCTTATTACTTAGATGGCTGATTATTTGAGGTAATTTTTTGTGTGTATGGTATGGGGAAGGGGTCCAACTTCATTCTTTTGCATGAGGACATCCAGATGTTGGTGAAGATGATTCTTTTCCCTGTTGAACTGTCCTGGCAATCAACTCTAAAATCACTAAGTTGATTTCTGGACTCTCAGTTCTGTTCAGTTGCTCTATGTAGTCTTATGCCGGAGCCACTGTCTTTATTACTGTAGCTTTGTAGTAAGTTTTGAAATCAGAAAGCATGAGTCCTCCAACCATGTGATTTTTTTTCAAGACTGTTTTAGTTCCCACGGGTCCCCTGAATATGAGCTTCAGGATTAATTTGTCCATTTCAGCATTAAGAAAAATCAACAGTTGTTGGGGAGAAGCAAATCAAAACCCCTTCAAATCCACTAAGCACTAGGATGATCAGTCACTAGGATGATCAGTCAATAAAATACAGAAAATAACAAGTGTGGAGGGTTTGGAAAAATGGGAGCCTTTTTATAGTCCTGCCATTGGGATTCTCAAATGGTGCAACCATTTTAGAACATTCTGGCAGTTTTTTAAAAGATTAACTGGGATTTTTCCTTTTTTTCACTAGCAGCTGTGAGTAATATAAATTACATCAAAATCTTTTTATCAATTTGAACGATTTTTTTTTTTTTTTGAGATGGGGTCTCACTGTGTCACCCAGGCTAGAGTGTAGTGGCATGATCTTGGCTCACTGCAACTTCTGTTTCCAGGGCTCAAGCGATCCTTCCATCTCAGCTCCTGAGTAGCTGGGACTACAGGTATGTGCCACCTCATGCATATTTTTTGTATTTTTGGTAGAGACAGGGTTTCACTATGTTACCTAGGCTGGTCTCAAACTCCTGAGCTCAAGCAATCCACCTGCCTTAGGCTCCCAAAGTGCTGGGATTATTGCCATGAGCCACTGAGCCAGCCTTGGATGTTGTCTTTTCAAGCAACTCATTAGTGTGGTTTGTTGTGCAAAGATAACTGATACCCCGCTCCACATGGGTGAGCATCTGTTTTGTTATGGGTAAAGAGAAAGGAAGGTGACAACATAGTGAGACCTCCGCTCCACAAAAAAATAACAACTTCTCGGGAGGCTGAGGTGGGAGGATCCCTTGAGCCCCGGAGGCCAAAGTTGCTGTGAGCAACCATCATGCCACTGCATTCATTCTAGGCGACAGAGTGAGAACCTGTCTCAAGAACAAATAATAACTATAAATGAAACAGTACATTTCCAGGTTGGGCCTCGCTGCTCCGAGTGCTGCCTGCCACCCTGCCCAGGGCTGGAGGGATTTTGCCGCACTGGGAGTGCAGCAGGTTCAGCGGCCACTGAACCGAGGACTCCTCCTCTCAGCCCTGGTGCCTCCTGTGTGGAGTAGGGGTTTCCAAGGGCAATGACCCTGGCTGCTTATGTCCCCAGGCTGAACAGGAGGCCCAGCGCCAAGGCTGTGAACCTTATGGGTGAAAAGACAAGAGGCTTTAGTTACGACACAGTAAGCTAAGCCACAGCATTCGAGATGTTTCACAGATCCTAGGAAGTGTTCTTCTTCTTTCTTGGTAGTGACTCTAGTGGTAGTTTTTTGTCACAGTTCTTTCATTCCTAAGAATTCACTGAGGCAATTCTGAATTAGAGAACATGTACTCCAGGTGTACGACCCTCTTTCCTATCACGTGTAGAGTGGTGAGACGCACCTCAATGCTGAGAGGTCAGGCAGGCATTCAGGCTGGGGACCGAGGAGACCCGGGGAGGGCAGTGTGCTCCTGAGACCCTCCGACTACCTCTGCCCTCTGAAGACTCCTGCCCACGGTCTGCCCTTTCTCATCCCCAGGCAGGATGGGCTACAGCCAGGTCAAGTGCCTGCTTTATTCAACAGGAAATGCCCAAGTGGGACTCACCCCTGCCTTTCACAGCGTAAAGGGAACAGGGAGCAAGACAGGAAGTTAGAAAAATAATGCACGGATCCAGACAATCCAGAAAGACTCTGCTAAATCAGTTTAAGGCCAAGTCTGGTCAGCACGAGAAAACAGAAGAGGTGACGGAAAAGCCTGGGGCGGCCTGAGCCACAATGGGCCTAGCGGAAGTAGCTGGGACATTCGTGGGCAACCAAATGCCAGGCTTGATGAAAGGCGTCCACGACAGCCGGCTCCAGGGGCCCTTCCTCCGCCGCTGCCAAGTTCTGCTCCAGCTGCTCCAGGCTGGACATGCCCAGGATGACTGCGTCCCCGTGGGCACCCTGCAAGGGAGACAGCCAGACTTCAACCCTCTTCTGCTGCACGGCGACTCCACTCACACCCCTCCCGGCCACCTCCCTGCTGAGATTTGGGGGTCTCTGTTTATATTTATATCCCATATGTCCAGAAAGAACTTAAGGTGGCTTGGATAGCTGTACCCATGTGACTTGAAACCTGTATCCTCTCCCCTGCTGCCACGGGGCGCTTCCAGGCAGACCTACATTCATGAACCAGTTCTGCCCACAGCAGCTGTGTAAAAATGGCTAAGTTGACTGGGCACAGTGGCTCGCGCCTGTAATCCCAGCACTTTGGAAGGTCGAGGTGGGAAGAACACTTGAGCCAAAGTGTTCAAGACCAGCCTGGGCAACATAGTGAGACGCTGTTTCTACAAAAAACTACAAATTAGCTGGGGGACTACAAATTAGCTGGGGGTGGTGGTGTATGCCTTGTCCCAGCTACTAGGGAGGCTGAGGCAGAAGGATCACTTGAGCCCAGGACGTTGCAGCTGGAGTGAGCTATGAGTGCGCCATTGTTCTACAGCCTGGGTGACAGAGTGAGACCCTGTCTCAAAAAAATAAAAAAGCAGGCTAAGTTAAGTATGTTTTGACAGTCCATCTTTTCCTCTGTTTTCAGCATTGGTATGAGAGAAAACTTAAGTAAAACACAGCTCGCACGTACTGAACATCTACTGGATATACGCCAGATGCTATGCACCATGTAAGGCTGAAGCTGCAGATAAGTTTGCTGCTGTTAGTTTTGTGTTGTTTTCTTGTTTTTTTAGACAGGGTCTTGCTCTGTCCCCAGGCTAAAGTGCAGTGGTGTGATCTCAGCTCACTGCAGCCTTGACTTCCTGGGCTCAAGTGATCTTCCCACCCTCCCGAGTAGTTGGGAACACAAGAGCGAGCCACACCTGGTGAATTGTTTTGATCTGTTGTAGAGACAGGGTCCCACTTTGCTGCCCAGGCTAGACTCAAAGGCCTGAGCTCAACCAATCTTCCCATCTCAGCTTCCCAAAGTGCTGGAATACAGGCGTGAGCCACCGCCACCAGCTAGGAAATAAGCTTTAACCAGGAAGACAGGAGGCACGAAGAGACCAAAAGGTGAGACGAGTGGGCTTTACAGTTAAATCCGTGTTAAAACGTCTGCCCCTTTAATAGCTGGGTGAACCTCAGTTTCCTCATCAGTAACACTGGGATAATCATACTCCACAAAGCCTAAGGAATAAGATAATCCCTGAAACGAAGCTTTCATTACAAATCCTGGCACTCAGAGGGGGAAGAGTGTTTTGAGAAATTTCAGAGGAACTGAGAAATAAATGCTTTGGCCTTCACCTAAAGGTGATGGTGGTCCCCCTGGAAGGGCAGAAGCCGAGCACCCAGGTTGCTGCCTACCTGCAGTTGTGAGTGGTGGTACATCCACCGGAGGGCAGCCGAGGTCATGCTGGGGGCGCGGGCACCATACGCGGCCTGCAGGGCCTTCTCCACCAGGGCAATGGCCTCGAAGTGGTGCTCCTTCCAGAAGCTGGGAAGGGGGGACAGTGGCACAGGGCTCAGTACCATGGGGGTCACACTGGGAGCCACAACCAAAGAGCCAACCAGGGCCACTGCCCCACCCACACCCTGTGGTCCTGGGGAGCGGGTGTCCTCCAGAGTCATAGGTCTCCCACTTCACTGGGCATCAGAACTACCCAGGATGCCAGCCCCCTCACCAGAGACCACGATGAATCTTTACTCCCGAGGACTCACAGCCTGCTCTTATTTTCCCTAGGGACACGAAGGCCACTCAGACGGGTCAGGTCTCCCTCCAGGGATCTCTCTTTTTTTTTTTTTTAAACAAATATTCATATTTTTGTTCCACTCTAACACCTCAAGTAAAGAACTGATGGGCAGGCATCGGCTTCTGCTGACAAGTGCCAACCAGAATGAGACTGCTGAGCTGAGGTGGACTCTGTGGTCACTGGAACTGGAACTGCAGGCCCAGTGGCCACTGGTAAGATGCTGCAACGTGAGACCCTCGAGAGACATTGACTTGCTGAAGATGAACAGGAAACCGAGAGCCTCCAGTCCAGCTGTCGAAGAGCAACCACCAGCCCACACCAAGGGGACAAGGGAAGAAGAAGTCCTCCTCTCAACCGACGTCCGGAAGCCCAAGGAAGAGTCCCGAAGTCGTGAAGAAGAGACAAGCAACTTGAGGGAGAGCCAGGAAGTAAAATGCTAAAAAAACCCGCAGCTTTTCAGAACACCTGAGGAAGGGAGCAGGCCAACACCATCCGGCCACAGTGACCAACTCCAGGATAAACTCCACCAGAAGGAGCTGCAGCTGGACGCACAGACTGAGGGGACACCAACCACCTCAACTCTCTCCCTGAGCACGAGTAATGTCAGAGCAAGCCTAGAGACTAGGATCCACCAGAGAAGTCTCCAGAGGTCTGACCCAGAGAGCTCAACAACAGGGTGCGCCCCAGGGTGATGAAAATAAAATGAATCAGTTGTAAAATGACAAAAGAGAAGGCCGGGCGCGGTGGCTCAAGCCTGTAATCCCAGCACTTTGGGAGGCCGAGGCGGGTGGATCACGAGGTCAAGAGATCGAGACCATCCTGGTCAACATGGTGAAACCCCATCTCCACTAAAAATACAAAAAACTAGCTGGGCATGGTGGCGCGTGCCTGTAATCCCAGCTACTCAGGAGGCTGAGACAGGAGAATTGCCTGAGCCCAGGAGGCGGAGGTTGCGGTGAGCCGAGATCGCGCCATTGCACTCCAGCCTGGGTAACAAGAGCGAAACTCCGTCTCAAAAAAAAACAAAACAACAACAACAACAACAACAAAAATGACAAAAGAGTTACAACGTATTGCTTTGAAGTCCGGTGGTATATTCACACGTGACATGCCTGGTCACAGATGTCTCAAAACTGTGTGTCTCCACAGTATAATGCTTGCCTTTGTGTTCACCATGGTATTCCTCAAGACTTAGCGTTAAAAACTTGATAAAAAGTGATTCATCTCCACAATGGGTGTCAGCTCCATCGTTTTCCAACCTTAGAGATAACTGAACGTGACTTCACTCCGTTTAGTTTCAGAGGTGGACGCTCCAGCATGGCGGCGGAAGCTCTGGCTGTGGCTACGGGGACAGAAGCTCCCCTCTTTTTTTTTTTTTTTTTTTTTTTTTTGACACATGGTTTTCCTCTGTTGCCTGCGCTGGAGTGCAGTGGCATGATCATGGCTCACTGCAGCCGCAACCTCTTAGGCCCCAGTAATTTTCCTGCCTCAGCCTCCCGAGTAGCTGGCTGGGGCTACACGTGTGCACCATCAAGCCTGGCTACTTTTTTGTATTTTTTTGGTAAAGATCATGTTGCCCAGGCTGGTCTTGAATGCATGAACTCGGCCGGGTATGCTGGCTCACGCCTGTAATCCCAACACTTTGGGAGGCCGGAGGCCGAGGCGGGCAGATCACGAGGTCAGGAGTTCAAGACCAGCCTGGCCAATATGGTGAAACCCTGTTTCTATTTAAAAATACAAAAATTAGGTATGGTGGTGATTGCCTATAGTCTCAGCTACTTGGGAGGCTGAGGCAGAAAAACCACTTGAACCTGGGAGGCAGAGATTGCAGTGAGTTGAGATCATGCCACCATACTCCAGCCTGGGCAACAGAGCTAGACTCCATCTCAAAAAAAAAAGAACTCATGAGCTCAAGCAATCCTCCCACTTTGGTGTTCCAAAGTGCTGGGATTATAGGTGTGGGCCACCATGCCTGGCCCATCCTGGGATCGCTCTTTCCTTCTTAGCAGGTGATTGCTCAGGAAAGAGCTACAATTTCAAGGCCCCAACATCCAGGGATCCTCATTTCCTGCTGGAGGTCCCAAGACAACAAGAAAACCCACCGAGGATTTGGGAATTCCTGAGGGACTGCAGGGGAGGAGGTGCAAACAGCAAGGGAAGGTCTTAGCCCAGGAGCAGCCCAGGACTTCATTCCACATGAAGCTGACCCCACACCAGCCATCCTCACCAAGCCCACCCCGGCTCACCGATTCCTGTAGGTCTCAGCCCAGCTATTCCCAAAGAAGCGGCCCACGGGCTGTTTCCCGTCCTTGTCCTCGTATTTGTACTTGCCAGTCAGCAGGCCCCCTGTGGAAAGGCAGCAATCGGCGCCTGGGCCCAGAGTGCCCCAGAAGCTGCCAGGTCCCTCAGGACTCTGGACTAGGGGAGGGGCAGGGACCCAGGAGGGGTGAAGGACGCAGCCCAGCCTCTTGTCAAACCCTCCCTGCTTCCTAAATCCTGGGCTGGGCATCAGTGGGTCAGGAACAGGCTAAGACAGGGCCAGGAATGCTCCACGTACCAGCCAGAGGGTTGTAGGCATAGAACCTCAGTCCAAAGTATCTGAGGCAGGGGAAGAGCTCCAGTTCCACCTGCCGGGTGGTGGCGTTGTACATGCCCTGCAGGGAGAGGGACCCCGGGGAGAGGGTGGACATGTCAAGAAAAGGAACTGTAGCCTTCCCCTGTTAAAACCCGAAAGCAACACGAGCCCAGAAAATTCAGCAGTTTTCTAACATCACTACTGCTGGGAGGGGATGGAGAGACGGTGTTAGGCCCAAGGACAGAAAACTGAAGTGGAATGATATCGTTCCACGAGTATCTGGTGTAGGAACTCCACGGTGGACGCTGGTCACAACCACAAGCAGGTGTCCTAAAACTCCTGCCTCCACGAGGTGTTATACTCAAGTTTAAAAAAACTGAAAAGAACGCAGTTAATTTCAATAGAGTTAGGTTGGATGATCAGAGGAGGAGCTGAAAAGTACTCGATGAACCTATGAAGATAAGGTTTGGAGGGTGAAGACTCCTGTGGGGCTTTCTAGAAAGGCTTCCGAAGGAAGAGACCTCTCTGTAAGGCCCGAGTGCTTCTCTCAGGGAGGAGGGCAGGGGAAATGTGTTCCAGGCTGAGTGCAGGACGAGGTGTGGAAGAAAGGGACCAAGGTGCACACTCAGGCAGGAAGGAAGCAGATGCCCAGCGGCCAGGCTGAGGAGCTTGAACGGCATCCTGAGGGTACCTGGGAGCCATCTGCAGGTTTCAGCAGGGGAGTGGCTGCTACTCAGAGGGCACGGGGGGCAGTCAGAGGGGCAAAGAGAGCCCATGATGAGCAGGAGTCCTGGAGATTGTGGCCTCTGCAGCCCTGGCCCTCACCTGGTACACAGTGGGCAGGATCCAGCCGTTGTTCTTGCAGAGGGTACAGATCTCAGCCACTTCCCAGGAGGCATAGTTGGAGAGGCCAAGCTCCACGAACTTGCCCTGCACAGGTGACGCTGCAGTCAGAACCCAGTACAACCCAACAGACCAGGACAGGGAGGCAGGGTGGCGCCCTGGGTAATGGAGCTGCTCTCTGCTCCACCCTGGAATTGCCCTCGTGCCTCTGCTCTCATGAGTAGGATCAGGATAAAGAAAGGAGCAGGAGCCCGCCTTCGGAGCTTGGAGGGCCCCCTCACCTCCTGGTGCAGCTGGTGGCAGGCGCGCAGCGTCTCTTCCACTGGGGTACCGTGGTCAGGTGCATGTAGGTAGAAGAGGTCCACTCGGGGGCACTGCAGCCTCTTCAATGACGTCTCCAGCTGGGACCGAACACTCTCAGGCTTTAGTGATTTTCCATCCCAAGGGTTGGCCTTGGTGGCAATTTTCACTTGGAGAGAGAATGGAATGATTAAGTGACCTATTAGAGCCATTTGCTAACCATGTAACCCTGGCTAAATTACTTCTATTCCCTTGGCCTCAATTCCATGATTCATAAAATGGGGTGATAATAAACTATCCTTACTGGGGGGTCCTGGGGATTAAATAATGTCATATATGCGAGTTCTCAATGTTCACCTATTAGAATAACTATCATTAGTCACCAAAACTGCTGGCTGTGCCAGGCCTTGCACTAGAAACTAAGTAGGCAGAGATGACCTGAACACAATGGCTCTCTGCCCTCCTGGAGCCCAGTCTAGAGGAAGGTACACCATGATAAGCACAGGATGGGAACACGCACAATGCCAAGAAGCCCGGATGAGATGCATGAGGCCAACATGGGGACTCCAGGGAAGGCTTTCCCTAGGGGATCACCCCCAAACAGAGTCCCAGCAAACAAGGAAGAGCAGAAGGTACATCCCAGAGCATGGGAACCTATGCAAAGTCAGGCAAGAGAACAGTATGTGAGGCTCCAAAACTTAACTTAGACTTTTATAAGTCTAAGTTATAAAAGCATAAATTCCAGAGCAAGGAGCAGTGGGAAACAGGAAGAGAGACAGACCTGATCCCAAAGGTTCTTAAATACCATCCCACTGAATCTGAGCTTGATCATTCCAGGTTTTTTCAGCGTGTGAACCGGTCACCTGTATTCACACTTGGCTGCAGTACAGAGAAAGAAGTCAAGGGGGCAGGCCTGGAAGAATTTAGGAAAGAGATTCAGCCACATGAATGTGGCCCACTAGGAGAGATCAATTTGACAGCTTAGAAGGCAAACTGAGCAGAATGTAATTATAATCCTCCCCTCCCCTTTCTGACTCATAGAGCATGAGCATACATCCAACCATGTGGAGATACATTGCTATGACAACAGTGTTATGCATCCAAGCAGCTTGGAAGTGAGTTAATTTTGCACTGTTCTTTCCCCTATAAAGAACCCTAGCTGTTGGTCCAGGTGCAGCGGCTCACATCTGTAAACCCAGCACTTTGGGAGGCTGAGTAGGAAGGATCACTTGAGCCCAGGAGTTTGAGATGATCCCGGGCAATGTAGCAAGACTGTGTCTCTACAAAAATAAAAACTAGCCGGGCACGGTGGCTCAAGCCTGTAATCCCAGCACTTTGGGAGGCCGAGGTGGGTGGATCACAAGGTCAAGAGATCGAGACCATCCTGGTCAACATGGTGAAACCCCGTCTCTACTAAAAATACAAAAAATTAGCTGGGCATGGTGGTGTGTGCCTGTAATCCCAGCTACTCAGGAGGCTGAGGCAGGAGAATTGCCTGAACCCAGGAGGTGGAGGTTGCGGTGAGCCGAAATCGTGCCATTGCACTCCAGCCTGGGTAACAAGAGTGAAACTCCTCCTCGAAAAAAAATAAAAAAAATAAAAAAATAAAAAAATAAATTAAAAAAAAATAAAAACTAAAAAAGAACCGCAGCTGGGCCAGATGGGGTGGCTCACATCTGTAATCTCGGCACTTTGGGAGGTTGAGATGGGTGGATCAACTCAGGTTAGAAGTTTGAGACCAGCCTAGCCAACATTGTGAAACCCCATTTCTACTAAGAATACAAAATTAACTGGGCCTGGTGGTGTGTGTCTGTAGTCTCAGCTACTGAGGAGGCTGAGATCACACTACTGAACTCCAGCCTGGGCGACAGAGTGAGACTCTGTCTCAAAAAAAAAAAAAAGAACCCCAGGTGTCTGGACTGGTAGGTGGATGGGTTTTGCACTTTTCATACTTGGCAAAGTCAGTTCAGTAGCTCACAGGGGTGTCATGAGATCAGCGGGGACATGGGAGAAACAAACTCCACAGTTTCTCCAGATTTTCTCCATTTCCGCAGAGCCCCACAGGCATTCCTGGCATGAACTTTGCCTCAGGTCTGGCGTGAGGACTTTGGTCCAGTGAGCTCCTGGCCTCAAAGATGGAAGTGGGGAAGGGTTGGAGAAGAAAAACAAACTCAGAAACAAAATCTTCATTATTAATAATATGCAACCTGGCTGGGTGCGGTGGCTCACGCCTGTTATCCCAGCATTTTGGGAAGCTGAGGTGGGCGGATCACTTGAGGTCAGCAGTTTGAGACCAGCCTGGTCAATATGGTGAAACCCCATCTTTACTAAAAATACAAAAATTAGTTGGGCGTGGTGGTGTGCACCTGTAATCCCAGTTACTCAGGACGCTGAGACATGATAATTGATTGAATCTGGGAGGCAGGGGTTGCAGTGAGCCGAGATCGTGCCATTGCACTCCACCCTGGGTTACAGGGCAAGACTCGATCTCAAATAATAATAATAATAACAATAATAATAAAAAATAACATGCAGTCAGGTGAATTAGAAAGAGAGTGGGCCTGAGATTCACACTCGCCCTCTTTTCCCCTTATCCACCAAGCGCTATGACTCTAAGGAGGACCCAGAGAGAACCTCTCTTGGGGTGGGGGAAGCAAGAGTCTCCGAATGGTCGAGTAGATGAAGCATGGAAAGGGTAACAGCCCACATTTCCTGGGCCCTCACTGCATGCCAGGCACCCTCTCAAGGGCTATCAATGGCACCAGGCTCATGAGGGACAATCTCCTCCATCCTCCACTCAAGCCACACCTGGCCACTGGCCTTCCTTTCACACATCCCGCACATTGCTTTTCCAAACCAAGTCTTTGCGCAGACTCGAATACTCCTTTCTCTTGTTCTCCTCCAAACTGCTATTTTTTTTTTTTTTTTCTTTTTGAGACGGAGTCTCGCTTTGTAGCCAGGCTGAAGTGCAGTGGCAAGATCTCGCTCACTGCAACCTCTGCCTCCAGGATTCAAGTGATTCTCCGGCCTCAGCCTCCTGAGTAGCTGGAACTACAGGCGCACACCACCACATCCGGCTAATTTTTGTATTTTTAGTAGAGATGGGGTTTCACCATGTTGGCCAGAATGGTCTCGATTGACCTTGTGAACTGCCTACCTCAGCCTCCCAAAGTGCTGGGATGACAGGCGCGAGCCACTATTGAGCCTTTAAAGGCCGAGCTCCAGCATTTGCTGAGGCTTCCCTAGTACCTCTCCCCGGCCTACAGCTCGGAAAGTACTCTTTCTGGGCTCTCCAGCAATCATTACTTCAATCTTCCCCACTAGACTCTGAGATACCTGTGGAGGGCTGGAGTCACTTTCTCTCCTATGGCCCCATGTCAATTCCCGGCACAGAGTGGATAGAAAGGCCCTACCCCTTCACTCGTCTACACTTCCACCCTACCAACCCTACTCTCCCCGCCAGCCTACGCTGGCATCGCCACAGTTGGTACTGCCAGCTGAACAGGGCAAAGTCTAGGGGATAAGCAATGGCCAGGAAAAGGGTGCCCAGGGAATGCATGGGTGATGATGGCAACGAAGGGGTAGAGGACATGCAGAGAGCCTGGGTGGGGACGGGTTACGGACACCTAGCAGGTTTGGAGGCCGGAGCATCAATCGAGGTGGGAAGCGATGGGCCAGACCAGGCTGGGGGTAGACTCTCGCGCTGCAATTCCCAGGGGAAGGAGAGTGGGGGAAAAGGAGTCAGGGCAAAACACCGTCTAGTTGTCCTGGGGTTCCCAGAGCTGAGTGGAAAGGGGTGGGGCAAGGGACGAAGCCGTCGGTACTGCCCGCGGCCGGGCCCTAGTGGGTTGGTGCACGGCTGGGTTCAGCTGTGCACGGTGCAGGGGGAGGACCAGAGGACACTGTTACCTCTGCAGTCGCCGCCGCCCAGCCCAAGCCCCAGGCCGCCCAGGATAGTCTCGGACTGGCCGTCGCTGTACATGAAGGCCGTGTCCAGCTCCGTGTGGCCGCGCTCCAGGAAGGTGCGCACGGCCGCGGCGCTGGCAGGCGGGCCCATGCGGCGCCCCATCTCCATGGTGCCCAGCACCGTGGCGGCCCGCGGTGGCGATGTCCGGGACATGGCGAGCGCGCGGGCCTCGGGCGGCGGGGAGCGACGCGCGCAGCGGAGAGCAGCGCGTGGCACAGCGCGAGACGCGGCGCTCAGCATGGCCGCGGCGCCTGCGCGTTTGGAGCCTGGGGCCCAGGGCGGCGCGCGGAGGCAGTGCGGGGCGGGGACAGCACACGCGGCCCCACGGGAGCCCCCCGACCCGGTCAGCCAGGCGCGCGGCGTGGGGGCGGGGCCTGTGGTTTCCGGGGCGGGGCGGTGGCGCGCGGTCAGCTGACCGGGCGGGCTCTGACCCAGAAGTCCGGCCCTGGCGGCGGATCTGGACTTGGTGAGCCGGCACGGGGGCAGGTGGCAAAACACGGCTGGGGGTCGGGGCTCCTGGGCTTCCCTGCTACGTCCTTCCTCCGGCCCCTGGACTGCTGGGGGCTCCTGCGCCCCCCTTGTGGCGCGACACCCTGAGGTGAGGCTCCGGGCCGGGACTGGGTGGCCCTTGGGAGCTCGCAGCCTTGTGGCCCCCCCCACCTCAGGGGCGACCAGCACAGCCTCTCGGGCTGGCCTGGCCAGGGGTTGGGGGCCGGGTCCCCTTTCAGCCCTTGGTCGCGGCCGACCGGCCCCTTGCCATCTGATGGCTTTGTTTTTCCCGGGTCGGTCGGGAGAGGGCCCTTGCGGCGCTGACGCCAGCAGCTGCCCTGTCATTATCCCTCCAAACAGGCGACCGGCAGCGGGCTGAATCACCAGGAGGGAGCTGTGGCTGAGGACGCCGAGCCCTGGAGTGGGTGGTAGTCCCAAGACAGGACGCTCCTCCCTCCACATTCTCCCCAGGTGTGCAGGGACGAGAGCCCACACTGCCCACTCCCACGCCGTGCCTAAGGTAGGTTTCCAAACGTGTGCATGGAGAGTCTGGGTCTGGAAGTGTGAGGGGTCCCGGGCCGGGGTCTCAGGTCTTCCCTAATCAACTCTTACTGAAGGCGCCTGTGTGCCTGGATGCCGGAAGGGCTACAGTGAGAACAAATAATGGTCATTTTGTGCTGTTGGTGTCCAGTGCCTGTGCCAGGCACCCTTGTAATGGCTTGGCCTGGATTGTATCATTTAACTCTGCAGTCAGCCTAGGAGGTGGGCATTGCATTATTCCCCCACTTTTCAGATGAGAACTGCGAGGCTCAGTCACTTGAGTTCTATACTGGTAGGTGTTGGGCAGGCCTGTTCCAGAGTGATTTTCTCCTCAGCCCTGGGCTGTTTGAGGCCACAGCTTTCCCCCTCTTTCTTCCTTTCTCCTCTCCTTCCTCTTCCCTCTCTTTCCCCCTTTTCTCCTCTCCTCACTCCCGTTTCCTCTCTTCTTTACCCTGGCCTTCTCTCTACCTCTCTCTCTTTCAACATTTGCTGAACCTCTACATGTGTTTAGACCCAGAGAATAAGAAATGCACCATCGAGAGTGGGGAGAGTACGTTTCCAGGACACTGGTCGCAGAGGACGGTGGTAGCATTCTTCAGGTGTGTGGACGAGGGGAGAGGATGAGGTGGGAGGTCTTGGCCAGCTGGCTCTCACGGGGCATCTTTGAAAGAGCAATTTAGAAATGAGTCTTACTCCATGACCGGGCCCTTGCAGGACACTCCTAGGGGAAGGACAGTATGCACAGATGCCTAGTGACCTGAAATGACTGAAGACGTGAGTCAGGAGGCAGGAGATAAGGTTGGGAGGACGGTTCTTGGAGTAACTTGAGGCCTGGCCTCAGGTCATTTGGACTTGATCCTGTAGACAAAGGTGGACACATAATCGGTGTTGGTCCTCAGCCCAAAGCATCCCTGACTCAGCTTGGGATCAAGGAGAGGAGGTTGAGTGTAGCAGGAGGCGCCATCTCCAGCCTGCCCTTTCTCAAAGTGCACTAGGTGGACCAGAATCGCTGGAGGGCTTCTTAAACCCAGAATCTTTAAGCCCCAGCCCAGGTACACTCACTCCAAATTTCTTTTCTTTCTTTCTTTCTTTTTTTTTTTTTTTGAGAGGGAGTTTCGCTCTTCTTTACCCAGGCTGGAGTGCAATGGCGCGATCTCGGCTCACCGCAACCTCCGCCTCCTGGGTTCAGGCAATTCTCCTGCCTCAGCCTCCTGAGTAGCTGGGATTACAGGCATGCGCCACCATGCCCAGCTAATTTTTTTTGTATTTTTAGTAGAGATGGGGGTTTCACCATGTTGACCAGGATGGTCTCGATCTCTTGACCTCGTGATTCACCCGCCTCGGCCTCCCAAAGTGCTGAGATTACAGGCGTGAGCCACCGCACCTGGCCCTCACTCCAAATTTTTAATGTGCACCCTCCAAGGGCAATTCCAGGGTACCCCTTCTGGGGTTCTTGCCATCTTCACAGATGAGGTCAAGCTCCATTGCAACCTTGGACATCCATTTTACTCAGTGCTGTTTGAACAGGAAGTGGGCCCATGCCTGGCTTCTGGGTGACAGGAACTGTACAGGATGGCCCTCAGAGCAAGGCCCTTCTGTTCAGGGATCAGCTGTGTCTCTGAGTGTCCTGAGCTCCAGGCTGCATGAGTCCTGTCCAAGGTCAGGGGGCCACCCATCCAGTATCCTGGATCCATAAACCAAGGTACCTTCCTCAAGACAACCCGCCAACACATACACATAGTGGGATGCATCCATTTCATTTCCTCCCTAACCTGGGGAAAAGGGGAAATGAGAGAGAGGCCCCAGGTGGTTGAGATGCTGGACTCTCATCCTGAAAACAGTAGCTGCTGTGCGTTGTCAGGCACGGGGCTGAGAGCTTTATGTGCAGTTAGTCAGGACAGCTGCCCCAAGGAGTGAATGTCACTGGCCCCATTTTATGAGAGCTCAGGCAGGTTAACTCACTTCCAAGGACGCTCGGCCTCACCTGTGAAATGAGCACAGTATACCCGACCTTGCTGGGGAGTGGTGAAGAGGGCAGTGGATGGCCTGCAGCCTTGTGTTCAGACTCTGCAAGGGGGTGGTGGCTGGGAACATGAGGGCTTGATCTGAAATCCCTTTGGCATTCTCACTTGGACAATATGGTTTTTGTTTTTGTGTTTTTTGTTTTTTTTTCCTTTTTGAGACAGAGTCTTGCTCTGTTTCTCAGGCTGGAGCGCAGGGGTGCAGTCTTGACTCACTGCAACCTACGCCTCCTGGGTTCAAGTGATTCTCCTGCCTCAGCCTCCCGAGTAGCTGGAATTACAGGCATGTGCCACCACACCCAGCTAATTTTTGTATTTTTGATAGAGAGGGGGTTTCACCACGTTGGCTAAGCTGTTCTCCAACTCCTGAGCTCAAGTGATTCCCCCCCACCCCGGCTCAGCCTCCCAAAGTGCTGGGATTACAGGTGTGAGCCACCACACCCAGCCACACCTGGACTCTATGTTAATTTGGTGTGGCCTTCCAGGTCCCAGAGTCGGGGCATCAGGTGAAGCCTTCCAACATCAGCTGTGCTGATGATCCTCCAGGTGGGCCACGAAGACACAAAGGAAGAGGCTTTCAGCCTCCCTGCCTGTGCCAGGCCCTGCAGATAGTCCAGTGAGCTGGGCTGACAGTGACCTGAGGCACCCTTATCTGCAGCTCCAGGGCCTCTGCCCACAGCGAGTCACATTAGGGCTGAGGGTCTACAGCTTCCTGACAGGAGGTGCTGACTCACTTTCCCTCCCTCCTGGTGCTGCCTGGTCTCTGTGACCTCAGCAGTTCCGTGGGGGCAGCCAGGGACTAGCTGAGGAGCCCAGGCCTCCTGACATAAGTGGAAATGAAGGCAGCTGGAGAGAGCCCCCGCCTGGGTGAGGAAATCCCCTCTGAGCACAGGGAGAAGAGGGGAAGCCCGCTTTCTGGCTGGGCAGTCATGCCAGACCGCAGAGGCTTCCCTCTTTCTTTTTCTGTGTCTGCTTGCTAGGGAGCCACAGACGGCTTCTGCCTTGCTGGTGGCAGACGCACGTGAGGCGGGCGGTGTGGCAGATGGCCATGAGCAGGGGTATAGGTCTGAGTCTTGGGTTTGACTCCTTAGCTTCCTGGCTGGGTGGCCCTGGCACATCACTTCCGCACTCTGACTCAGGCTCCTTGTGGATGTCAGTGGATGCCACTTCACAGTTGCTGTAAACATGAAACCTATGAATGCATGCAGGATGCTTGGCATAGGCTGACAACGAGCTCTTGGTCCGAGCTGTTCTGACGATCACTGACGGAGATGGCCCAGCCAAGCCTCACTTTCCCTTCCTCCTCTAAGGTGTCACACAGGCAATGACTGCTCTACTCACTGTCCAGGGTGCTCGGGTACCGGGAGGGGCCTGCCCTGCCCTGCCCTGTGATCACCCATGTTCTGGCTTTGTCAGTGTGACAGTGGGGAGGCGGCTGTGGACTCCCTACTGGTAGGCGACCTCCACACTCTGTGAGCTCCTGGGAGAATACAGGCTGCAGCGTCTCGAACTTGAGTCCTTGTCACTCATGCAACCCCAGGGATCCCCTGCTCCTCTTCTCCACTTCCGTCATCTGTGTGGGCCAACCTGCTTTATGGTTGGTGTGTGTGTGCGGTGTTTTCTTTTAAGACAGGGTCTGGCTCTGGCTCTGTCACCAGACTGGAGTACAGTGGCATGATCGTGGCTTGCTCTGCAACCTCCACCTCCTGGGCTCAAGTGATTCTCCCACCTCAGCCTCCTGAGTAGCAGCTGGGACTACATGCGTGTGCTACCACACCTGGCTAATTTTTGAATTTTTCGTAGAGACAGCGTTACTCAGGCTGTTCTCGAACTCCTGGGCTTAAGCGATCTTTCCCACCTCGGCCTCCCAGAGTGCCGGCACGGTGCCCAGCCCTTATTTTCTGCTGTTGTTTTTGAGACAGGGTCTTGCTCTGTCATCCAGGCTGGAGTGCATTGGTGAGATCATGGCTCTCTGTAGCCTCTACCTCCTGGGCTCAAGTGATCCGCCCACCTCAGCCTCCTGAGTGGCTAGGACCAGACGGGCACGCACCATCATACCACCATGCTTGGCTAAATTTTTGTGTTCTTTCTTTCTTTCCTTTTTTTCTTTCCTTCCTTTCTTTCTTCTTTCTTTCTTTCGAGATGGGTTCTTGCTGTGTTGCCCAGGCTGGTCTCTGTCTCCTGGGGTCAAGCTGTCCTCCCGCCTTAGCCTACCAAAGTGTGGGGATTACAGGCATGA